AAGTTTTCAGTTTTCCAGGTTGCTCACTACCTAAATCCGTGTGTTATACACCTCTACGGTTGTCAAATCATGTTGACATTCCCTTTTTGTACGTGTTCCCTCCTATCTGTATTCTTTTCAATGCAGACAACTGTGCTTCACTGAATTGTGGCCCTGGTGGCACGTGCATGAAGGATGCGAGCGGAAGTCCGTTCTGTAACTGCACCATCGGCTTCAAGCCGTATTCAAACAACCTCACTTGCATTGGTGAGTTGGAGGAGTGCAAAAGGGTGTTTTGAGTTTGTAACCTGTTGTTGGGAGTTGCTTGCACTTGAGTTTGCAGATGCTCTCACCACTTCCTTGTCTTATCCGCCCCTTAACCTTGTTGCAGCAGTTATGGATTGTATGCAAAGGCAAAACAATTTCAGCAAATTGTATTGTTTTCTAAGATGAAATATCTTCCTTCTTGCCTTGGTTGGCTTTCTGCAGACAACTGTTCTGGGAGGAATTGCGGTTGGAACGGCAAGTGCGTGAAGAAGGAAAACGGAGATCCAACCTGCATGCAACGAGGGCTTTCAGATGGATACTGACAGATTCTTATGCATCAGTGAGTTGAGAAGTTGTCCCTCTGCGGGTGCAAATTCGTGAAACCATGTCTATTTTGGCAGCTCCCCAGCTTTGCTGCAATCAGCCTCATTCCACCTGAATTTCTCTCTTCTTTCGAGCATCATCCTCCCCACCCGCTTCTCCCCCCACCCCCACCCCCACCCTTCTGTGCATCGCATCAGCAACGCAGTGCTACGCGTTAGGCTGCGGACTAGATGGGGATTGCGTGAATGACATCAATGGGAGACTTTCGTGCAGATGGAGTAAGCTCAACACGCCCAACTCTTTAGCTCTTCCCTTTTTTCACAAGCTCTATTACAAACTCACTTGTATAAATTTGCCCACTTGCCATTCTTATCCCACCACTTCTATGCCCTTCCATGTGTCTCCCGTGCTTGCTGAGTTGCTCAGAATCACCCTGTGGCAGCTGCCCCACTGGAGCCGTCTGCCAAACCATCCAGGTCACAAATCAGGTCACTGCTACTGTGCCGTACTGCGAGTGTCGTCCCGGCTATGGCATGACCTCAACAGGCTGCATCTACGGTGAGACCTAGTAGCTCTCCTTCTACCCTTCTCTGCTGGTCACACGCTGCATCCTTTGACTCGGCAACTGAGAGCTGATGAGGTGGAGTGAAGGTGAGGGACAATGAAGCTTCCGTTTGCAGAAAATACTATAAGCGTGTGTCTCAGAAGTGAAACAGTAGTATAAGCGTTCAGCGGTCATCTGAGCTATGTGTCAGGGTCTTGCTTTCACCTTCCTTTCATATCCCGACTTCATAGCATCATTGTCACAGGATCGAATTCTCTAAATTTCTTGTATGTGTCCCCATGCTGCAAACAAGCAAGTCCTCGATCCTGGATAGTGTTTGAAAGACTGTCAGGTGTCTGCTTTCTCCTACATAGCATCATGACCCTTCTCTCACTACATAGCATCATGACCCTTCTCTCACTCCATAGCATCTCTCCTATCCTTTTCCCAAATCTCCCATGCTGCTTGTGCACCCATTCGCAGGTGCACCTGACCAAGTACTTCCATACAGCATCACGCTCTTGAAGGATCGTAACGCCGCAGGCAACGCATCCAAGCCCTTCACCTTCCGCTTGAAATACGGCTGCACTCAGTTCCCAGAGGGGCTGGCTGGAAATTTCAAGTCTTGGTACGAAGTGGATTACATCAATAATGCTCTCGGTTGTCGCGTTTGGCGAGCTTACAAGACGGATAACTGCACCTCGACCCCTGCGCAGAGTGGAACCATTTTCACTACAACGATGTTTGCAAATGCATATAGGTGATTTGCCAGCTGCAAATACTTTTCCCATTAATTCAAATTTGTTCAATCTGAGTTGATTTATACTTACATACGCTGTGCTCGCCCTGTCACCCTGTGGTCAATGCTGTATCTACTCTACCATCCTTCCCCTGTGTGGCCTACCAGGGATAGTGCGACTCCCTTACCAATCCGCTCTTGGTGGTGCGGTAGCTGATTCTCTTTGCCGTCCGCTTTTGACGCCTAGGTTTGCGGGTCTACCTAAGTTAGCGAGAGCTTCGAAGGCCTGAGGGGCAAAAGTATCACCTATAATAGTGACGCATTGACCTCATATAGAGGATGATTACCGTACTTACTGCGCAGCGCACTTGGGATGGAACCAAGGAATGTACCCCAAGGCTAGACACAACAATTCGGATCACTTTTATGCAATGTTGATATTTGTTTGTCAGAATAATATATAGTTTTATATATTGTTCTATAACTGCTTGTAGTGTGAAATACTGTAGTCATATCACTTTCTGTTTGGTGGTGCACCTTTCTTGATTCTTGCCTATTTGTACTGCTCGCTCTAGGGTGAACAACCTCTTTTGGCCAACTCCTCTCTAGTTCCTCTCGACTCGACATTCTCCTAGGCTAGGGTTTCTCCTAAGCCTAGGATCCTCTACATACTTCAACATGTTATCAGAGCTACTAGATCCTCGGGCCTAAGACTTTCATGTTTTTTTTTTTTTTTTTTTTTTTTTTCGCTCTCATGGCGAGCACCTCGCTGGTACGTTGCGCCACGCTTGCCTCGCCGTGCTCTCGCTGGCAAAATTTCGGCTTTCGGACCTGCTGCGACCCGAAGCGCCGGCGCCTGCGCCAGCGCGTGCGCCAGCAACCTGCGCCCGCGCGTGCGCTAGCGACCAGCGCCCGCGCGTGCGAAAGTACCAGCGCGTGCGCCGGCGACCTGCGCCAGCCCGTGCGCCAGCGGCCAGCGCCTGCGCGTGCGCCAGCGACCTGCGCAAGCGCCAGCGCGTGCGCCAGTGCCAGCGCCTACGCAACACAGCCGCCAGCACCGGCACCAGCGCCTTCTGCGAGCGCCAGCGCCAGCAGCAGCGTACGCCGCCTCCCCTCCCTTCCGCGACTCTCGTCGTGGGGGGGGGGGGGAGGGGGGGGGAGGCGTGAGGGTGGTTGACGCCTCTCTGTTCGCTGCTGCGCCACACCGCTAACCCGCCACACGCCGTCCCTTCTCTCTCCCTGCTGCGCGTGCAGCAGTAGGGGGGGGAGGGTTTGGGGTGGCGGGTGTGAGCAAGAAGCTGCCGCCCCTCCTCTCTCTCTCACTGCCGCACGTGCCGCTGTGGGGGGGAGAGTGAGGGGGCGACGGAAGTCAGCCGGTCATCTGCTGCTGTCGCTCGCTGCTGATGTGGCACCTCCAGCTGCCGCCCCTGCCGCCACCTGCCTTTGCTGCCTTTGCTTCTGTTGCCTGCTGTTGGGGCCTGCAGGTGCTGCCGTCGAGCCGCTGCTGTCCTGCTGCACGTTGCAGCCACAGAGCCTGCTCCTCAGGCGACCTGCCGCCCCTACACCCGCTTCTGTTTCTGCCTTGGCTGAGGGTTGGCTACAGCTGTATCTGCCACTTCTGCACCGGCTATCACTGCTTTTGCCTGCCACTGTTTCTTCCGCTGCACTCTGTCTGGTGTACCCCATTATGGGGGCGTTGATTGCATATTCTTCCCTACAGGCACTTATGGGGGTGTGTCAGAATAATATATAGTTTTATATATTGTTCTATAACTGCCTGTAGTGTAGAATACTGTAGTCATATCACTTTCTGTTTGGTGGTGCACCTTTCTTGATTCTTGCCTATTTGTACTGCTCGATCTATAGTGAACAACCTCTTTTGGCCAACTCCTCTCTAGTTCCTCTCGACATTCTCCTAGGCTAGGGTTTCTCCTAAGCCTAGGATCCTCTACCTACTTCAACAGGTATGTGCATTCATTATTATATGTTATCATCTAACAATCATGGGATGGGACATTAACAGACAAGTACCGTCATCGCCCGAATATAAGGCATATATGTCTTACACTAAAAAAAATGCTTGGATTATCTTGTATTTGGGAAGGTTTGGGGTGTCTTATAAGTCTTATAAATGGAAACTTTTTTAATTTACTTAGAAATATTTTCACACATCTTGAAAAGAGTTTCTCATTATGAGTGTGGATGTTGCAAATGTGCCACTTAGGCAGCCATTGTTTGGGACGCCACGTCATGGAGAATACTTGCAGAGGCAAATTCGGTAGTATGTGAGTTAGCACATGTCAGAATTTGTGTGTCGCAAGGGTAAAAATGTACGTGATATTTTAATTTTCACTATAATATATTGCAGTTTGATGATAAGACACATAAGTCTTATCTCGTACACACACATAGGTATCTTATAATGAGGCTAGCCTATTTATACCCGTATAGTAGACAACCCCTGTCTACTATTCAACACTGTCTTATATCCGGGCGGATACGGTAGTGTTAAAGTTGTTGGCCCAAATTGCACAAGTTTTAATATCATGACGAGAGGGAGAGTTACTGGTTTGGGTTTTGGCTCTCTAAGTTAGAATGCAACGGAATTCGTGAACTAGGGAAACAAGGGATACAAACAGCAACCCTAAAAGTGTTGTACTCCCTAGTGTGCTACTCACTGTAGCCTAAGAACCTACGGTATAAAAACATTTGACACACCCCCATAGGCTAAGTGAGGGGCATCAAAGCAAGCAGGATGAACAAACTGTCACAAAACCAGTCAATACAAGAAGCAAGGCAAGCTCAGGGTGGATCTCAAGGACACCACACAAATTCCGAGCACAAGCAAGCGGCCATAAGGCCAATTCAAGAGTTCACTAGGATATATATATAGCAAAGCACAACAAGCAGAGCAAACAGCAAGTCTACAGCAACCGAGGGCCTACCTCACCAGGCCCCAACTGCACACAGAACATGTGGTGGTCTCCAAGCGCCAGGGTCTTGGTGATGACGTTTGCAGTGTTGGCCTCTGAGGCCACAAAGTCCAGGCATGCCTGGTCGTGTCGCTGCAGCTCTCGAAGACGGAAGTACCTCATGTCAATATGCTTCAATCTGCTCTCCAATTGAGGCTCTCGACACAGGAGGATCATGGCCTTGTTGTCAGCGTACAAGGTCGGTGCAGAGCGAGGCCGCTCACCAAGGTCGGCGAGCAAGAAGGTCAACCAGCGAAGCTCCTGTGCCGCCATGGCACCAGCGTAGATCTCTGCCTCTGCACTGGAAGTAGCCACAGACGACGACCGTGTAGACCTCCACGACACAGCACCAGCTCCCAGACTGAAGCAGTAACCCTGGGTCGAGCGCTGAGTCTCCACGTCGTCAGCGTAGGAAGAGTCGCAGTGACCAGTCAATGCCACTGGCTGAGTCCCTTCAAGCGCAAGCCCCATGCCTGATGTAGTCGCCAGGTACTTCGCCACCCTCACAGCAGCTGTCTAGTGAACAGGACGGTGCCTCTAAGTCGCAACGAAGCGAGAAAGTATGCTGAGGGGAAAGGCGAGGCAAGTCATCAGGTACATGAGGCAGCCCACCAGCTCTGCGTAGGGACCACTGGACTCAAAAGGCTCGTCGGGAAAGGGGCCAGTGAGTCTGTGGTCAACAGCAAGAGGTGTGGGATGTGTGGTGGAGAACTGGAAGTTGAACCGCCGAAGGACCTCCTGCACCATGTGTGACTGAGTCAGTGTGATGGTGCGAGCGGCTCTGTCCCTGGTGATCTGTAGGCCAAGGTAGCGCTGCAGTTCACCTAGGTCAGTGCACTTGTGTCTCTTATGAAGTTCGGACTTCACCTGAGCCAGAGCTGCCCTTTCTGCTGTGGCAAAGACCAAGTCGTCGACGTACGCTAGTATAAAGAAAGGAGTGGAACCAGTGTGAACAAACAGCGACGGGTCGGCAGAGGAAGGACAAAACCCAAGGTCACGAAGCGTGGAGCGAAGAGTGTCGTGCCACTCACGGGGCGACTGGCGGAGACCGTAGTCTGGCCGTCTCAGGTTCCACTGGGTCCAAGGTGGGAAGGTGTCAGTGAAGCTAGGAGGGCGGCGCAGCCAGAGATCTCCTCGTGTAGCCGGCCCTCGAGAAACGCAGTAGAGAAGTCAAGGGAGTGCAGCTCGTAATCTCGCAGTGCTGCTAAGTCCAGTATCACCCGAAGAGTAGTCATCTTCGGGGTCGGGGCGAAGGTCTGGAAGAAGTCAACTCCCTCACGCTGACTGAAGCCCCTAGCCACGTAGCGCGCCTTGAACACATGCGGTGAACCAGGCGGCCGCTTCACCTTGAAGAGCCACATGCCATCGACTACGTTCACCCTGGGAGGGGGAATTGCGCCGACGTATGTGCCTGTGGATCTCCATCACGCAAACTCCGAGGCCATAGCCCCTTTCCACCGTGAGGCCCACGCCCCTGACACTGCCTCGGGTTAAGTGCGGGGGGTCGGTATGTTAAGGGCGTCGGGGTCTCTCTCAGGGGATAGCAGCATGGCACAGACAAAGGGAGAAGCGGCTGCCCAGTACTCCAGCTCAGACTCTCTGTCCTCTAGGACGTCACAGCCAAGGGCAAACTCACCCCCGACGGACAGAGGAATCCTTGCTGTAGGTGCGGCTCGTGGCACTCCTCGCACTCCCCTCTTTGAGGGGTGCTCCCCCTCCCCCCTTGCCCCCTCCTACGCCTCTGCTGCTGCTGCTGTCGACTTCCTTGGTGCTGAGGAGGTTGGGGCCACTTCCGCTCCTAGTGGGAAGCGCCGCAGCGCCAGGGGCAGAGGGGCTGGCAGGGGAGGTGGAGGTGGCGGTGGAGGGGGCGGTGGCGGTGGTGGCGGGGGCGGTGGAGGAGGATGGAGTGGTCGAGGCGGTGGTGGTGGTGGTGGGGGCGGCGGTGGTACCGGGAGCAGTGGCGGTGGCAGCGGCGGTAGTGGGGGAGGAGCCAGTGGTGGTGGCAGCAGTGGTGGCCAGGGCCAGCAGCAGCTGCAGCAGCAGCAGCAGCAGCAGCAGCAGCAGCAGCAGCAGCAGCAGCAGCAGCAGCAGCAATAGCAGCAGCAGCAGCAGCAGCAGCAGCAGCAGCAGCAGCAGCAGCAGCAGCAGCAGCAGCAGCAGCAGCAGCAGCAGCAGCAGCAGCGACGACAGCGCCAAGCCCCCACGTCTCAGCAGCTCCATTTCTGGTCTGCCGGGCGTGGGGCATCTGGGGGGTCTAGTCGCTGCCCCTATATCATTCGCGCAGGTCCCCGCGCTGGTCACCCATGCCATGGTCTTTACACTGAGTCTCGCTGCTTTGCTCGGCTTAGCGACGCCTGGCGCGTCAAGTTTCCTGAGGCTACTGAGTTCCCCTACTAGGCAGACCTGCTTAGGCGTGGTGTTCCTATCTTTGATCTTGACTATGATGCTATTCTTGCTGCCATGTATGCATTGACTGTTAGTGCTGAGCGTGACTGCTACTTCTGTGTGCCGCGTGACCCCGGTATCGACCCTGGTATAGCGCCTGCAGCCCTAGGTGCTAGTGAGTCTGCTCCCCCTGGTACTGCGTCGGCTCAGGCCTTGCACACGTTTACACTTGACTCTGGTTCTTCCTGCTGTTTCTTCCCCTCCCTGCACCTGTCCTTGTCTCACTGGCTGACCCCTCTGTTGGCTCAGTGCTTGCACGAGCCACGACTGTGCTTCCGTGCCCAGCGGTCCCGTCTGGTGAGCTGTCAGGTCTCCACATCCCCTCGTTCTCTACGAACCTGGTGAGCAACGCCGTCCTTCAGGATAATTGGGTTGACACCTGGACTCCTGGAGGACAGCGTGTGGCGATCCTCACGTGCTCCAAGACTGGCCGCCACCTGGCCACGTTCACTCGTGAGCCTGGGTCCAGTCTGTACACCCTCACCACTGTTTCACGCTACACCCCTTTGTCTCCACAGCTGTACGCGTCTCCCAGGTAGCTACCCAGTATGAGTGTCACCGCCTTTCGCACGACACTCTCCTGTGGCACCACCGCCTTGGTCACCCCTCCCTGCCTCGCCTTCATGGCATGCACTCTCGCTCCCTGGTCTCTGGTCTTCCCAGGTCTCTGCCTGCCCTCCCTCCCTCGCCTGCGCTGCCCTCCATTCATTGCGTCGAGGATTGGCAGCGCGCCGCTCCTCACTCCTCCTCGTTCCCTCCCACAGAGGCTCCACTGCAGACGCTCCACCTGGACGTGTGGGGCCCAGCCCGCGTCCAGGGGCAGGGCCGCGAGCGGTACTTCCTGCTGGTTGTCGACGAATCCATGCGTTACACCACGGTCTTCCCCTTGCAGCGCAAGTGGGATGTCCCTGATGTTCTGATCCCTTGGATCCGCGCTGTTCGTCTCCAGCTCCGCGAGCGGTTTGAGCGGGACTTTCATGTCCTGCGTCTGCACTCTGACAGAGGCGGTGAGTTCTCCTCCGACCTCTTGCGGGCCATCTGTGAGAAGCACGGCATCACCCAATCGTTCACGCTTCCGGCCTCTCCGCAGCAGAATGGGGTTGCTGAGCGCCGCATTGGCTTAGTCATGGAGGTCGCTCGTACCTCCATGATCCATGCGGCGGCTCCTCATTTTCTGTGGCCGTTTGCGGTCCGGTACGCCGCGCATCAGCTCAACCTCTGGACCCATGTCTTCTTGCCGGAGACCTCACCCACACTGCTGTGGATGGGGGAGGTTGGCGATGCGTCGCGTTTCCGGGTCTGGGGTGTTCGTGCCTTTGTCTGTGATCTCACCGCGGACAAGCTCTCTGCCCGCGCCATTCCCTGCGTCTTCCTTGGTTTTCCTCCTGACGCGCCTGGCTGGCAGTTTTACCACCCCACCTTGCGCCGTGTCTTTGCGTCTCAGGACGTCACTTTTGACGAGTCAGTCCCCTTTTACCATCTCTTTCCCTACCGCACTGCTCCTCGCCGCCCCGCGCCTCTCTTTCTCGCTCCTGTCCTTCCCAGGTAGACCCCCTCCCCGCGCCAGGTCCTGCTCCTTCAGGTGTTTCTCAGGTAGACCCTCCTGTGCCTGCGCCTGTTGAGGTCACTGGTGACTCAGGTCCTGCTGGGGGTGGTCCTGCTCGGGGTGCTGTTTCTGGGGTTGCTAAGCCTGGGGGTACGGAGCCTGAACGAGAGGAGCCTGAGGGTGCCGAGCTTGTGGGTGCGGAGTCTGGGGGTGCTGTGCCTGAGCGTGAGGAGCCTGGAGGAGCTCAGCCTGGGGGTGTCGAGTCTAAGGGTGCTGAGCCTGGGTGTGAGGAGCCTGGGGGTGCTGAGCCTGGTGGTGCTGAGGAGCGTGAGGAGCCGGGGGGTGCGGCGCCTTCTAGTGCGCGGTCTCCTTGGAGTGGCCGCCTTCGTCCGCGTGTGCCTCTCACCTCCCAGCAGTTGCACTAGTGGTACGTTCGCCGTCTGCGTCGCGAAGCTGGAGCTCGGGGCTCTGCAGCTAGAGGTGCTTCTGCTGACGTCAGTGGAGCTAGGAGTGGTGCTGGTACTTTGTCTACTGGAGTTGCCGGAGTCGCTGGTCCCGGAGGTGCTGGTGCTGGAGGTACTGGAGCTGCTGGGGCTGGAGGTGCTGCGTCTGGGGGTGCTGCTGCTGGAGACACTGAGGCTGGAGACCCTGGGACTGGAGGTGCCGGTTCTGGTGGTGCTGCTGCTTGAGACACTGAGGCTGGAGACACTGGGACTGGGGGTACCGGTTTTGAGGGTGCTGCTGCTGGTGGAGCTGGTCCTGGAGGTGCTGGCGCTGGAGGTTCTGGCGCTGCTGGGGGTACTGGAGCTGCTGGAGGTGCTGGAGCTGCTGGTGCTAGTGGCACTACACCGACGTGACTGCTCTTCGCTCCGTCGTCTCCGTCGTCTCAGCCACCAGCTGGCTCTGTGCTTCGCCAGGTCCTGACGTTGCGGACCCTGAGTCTGACCGGTTTCGTGCTGCCCACCCTACTGTCACGCGTCTGTTAGCCACTGTTGTCACTGACCCGTCGTTTGAGTCTGCTGCTGCGTCTGCCTTAGTCGCTGAGCTTGTTGACTTTGCTGCTGCCTGTCGTCTAGACTACACTGCTATTCTTGTTGCTGAGTCTGAGTCTGTCTGTCCTCCGTCCGTCGGGGGTGAGTGTGCTCTTTGCACGGACGTCCTTGAGGACAGGCACAAGGACCTTGAGTGTCTTGCAGCCGCTGCGCCTCATCTCGTGGCCATGCTGCTTGCCCCTGAGGGAGACCCGGATGCTGTAGACATCCCGACCCCGCGCTCTTACGCTGAGGCGATCGCGGGTGAGTACTCCTCTCAGTGGCAGGCAGCCATGGACGCAGAGATGGCATCTTGGAAGTCCACAGGCACTTACGTCGATGAGGTTCCCCCTCCCGGGGCGAACATCGTCGATGGCATGTGGATTTTCAAGGTGAAGCGGCCGCCGAGTTCTCCGCCTGTCTTCAAGGCTCATTACGTTGCTCGAGGCTTCAGTCAGCGAGAGGGAGTTGACTTCTTTCAGACCTTCTCCCCCACCCCGAAGTTGACCACTCTTCGGGTGCTGCTGCACGTTGCCGCTCAGCGTGACTACGAGCTTCACTCTCTTGACTTCAGCACAGCTTTCTTACACGGCAGCCTGCACGAGGAGATCTGGCTGCGCCGCCCACCTGGTTTCACTGGGTCGTTCCCTCCTGGTACCCAGTGGAGCCTTCGGCGGCCAGTCTACGGTCTCCGTCAGGCGCCTCGTGAGTGGCACGACACACCGAGGACAACACTTGCGGCTCTTGGGTTTGCTCCTTCGACTGCTGACCAGTCGCTGTTTCTACGTACCAACACTTCGCTGCCGCCGTTCTACATCCTCGTGTACGTCGACGACTTGGTCTTTGCCACTGCTGAAACTGAGGCTCTCGCTCAGGTGAAGTCGGAGCTGCAGAAGAGACACACGTGCACTGACCTGGGTGAGCTGCGTAGCTACCTTGGCTTGCAGATCACCCGGGACCGAGCACGCCGCACCATCACACTGACTCAGTCACACATGGTGCAGCAGGTCCTTCAGCGCTTCGGCTTCACCTGGTCCTCCCCACAAGCCACTCTTCTGGCTACAGGTCACTCGCTCTCAGCTCCCCCTGCGGACGAGTCCGTAGAGCCGAGTGGTCCTTACCCAGAGCTAGTTGGCTGCCTCATGTACCTGATGACCTGCACTCGACCTGACCTCGCATACCCTTTTCGCCTTTTGGCTCGCTACGTGGCTTCTGCCAGGCACCGAAAGGTGCACATGGATGCTGCTAAGAGGGTGTTGCGCTACTTGTGCAGTACATCGGGCATGGGGCTCGTGCTTGGAGGACGGAGTGAGGTGGTCCTCACTGGGCACTCAGACGCGTCTTGGGTTGACGACCAGACTACGCAGCGGTCGTCACAGGGTTACACCTTCAGCCTTGGCTCTGGGTCTGATTCTTGGCGGTCTACACGCTCGTCTTCTGTTCTCAGCTCCAGTTGTGAGGCTGAGATCTACGCCACCGCCATGGCTGCACAGGAGTTACGCTGGCTCACCTACCTGCTAACCGACTTGGGAGAGCGGCCTCGTTCTCCTCCAGTTCTGTACGTCGACAACAAGGCGGCCATTGCCTTGTGTGAGGAGCATAGACTGGAGCACAGAACGAAGCACATTGCTCTGCGTTACTTTCTGGCTCGAGAGTTGCAGCAGCGAGGTCAGCTTCGTCTTCGTCACGTGGCCACTCGGGCCAACACTACTGATATATTCACCAAGGCACTTCCGTCTGGTGATCATCAGCGCTTTTGTACTTTGTTAGGCCTTGTGCCTACGTTTCCGCACTTGCTGTAGACTTGCCTGTAACGTGATCTATATATATACATGCATGCTTGCTCTTGCTAGGTAGTGATCACTATTCTGTTGTTGTTGCATATAAACCTCTGCATGTAAACTGGCCTTGTGGCCCTTTGCTTGTGCTCAGTGTGTGTGGTGACGTTGTGATCCACCCTGAGCTTGCTTTGCTTCTCTTGACTGGTCTTGTGACCCCTTGTTCTCCCCCACTTTGCCTATGAGGGTGTGTCAAACTATATATGTTATATTTGTGTGTAGGCTGTAGTGGGGTAGCCAATATGGGGTACAACACTTCTAGGGATTCATATTTGTACCCACCTCTGATCTAGTTCAATCATTCCTGTTGTGAGGATCTTAGGATCGAGCTCAGAAAAGAGAATTTGAATTGAATGATCACTTGGGTACAACACGAGGCTATATATAGGCTCGACACAAGGCAGGTAACCCAGGTGTTACGCGAATGTTCTGAGGGTCGCGAAGCGTCCTGAATAGATGTCGGATGCCATAGGCCTGCTTCTTCTGCCTCTCGTATTTGACCTCTTATGCTCCTGCTCTGCGGCTCTCCTTTCCCTTTTCTCTCCCAGGTGCACCTGTTCATGAAGACGTGCTTCTCCTTCTAGCCCTCTTGCTTATCCAGTGCTCTTAGCCACTTGCTGTCAAACATTATATGTTTGTATTGCTCTAGCCTGTAGTGGGTGATACCTTAGGGGGTACACCTAGTTAGGGTTTCACATTTGTACTCCTGTTCCTCTTAGTCACACCCATTCCAGTCTCGTAATCTTGACATGGTTTCAGAGCAGGTCCTTCCCTAGGACCGTTCTTAAGGGCCCACCTACCTACCTACATACCTATCAAGCGCCCCTAGTGCGCCTCCTATTGCGCCCCTAGTGCGCCTCCTACTGCGCCCCTAGTGCGCCACCTTTTTTTTTTACCGCGCGCGATCTGCTAGCCGCCCGCGCGCGGCCTATTTCGTGCGCGCGACCAGCCAGCAGCCCGCGCGCGGCCATTTTTCGCGCGCGGTTAGCTAGCCGCCGGCGCGCGCGGTTATTTTTTCTTCGCGCGCGGCCCGTCGCGCTGCCCGCGCGCCTTGTGTGCTGCGCTCGGCCCCCCCCCCGCGCCTTCGTCGCCGCGGTCGGGCCTGCAGCAACAGCCGCGGCAGAGACTGCAGTCGCGGCCGTCGCAACTGCTGCAGCAGCCGCCGCCGCCTCTCCTGCCGCGGCCGCCGCTGCATCTACAGCGGCGGCAGCTGCAGTAGATGCGGCAGCTGCAGCCGCTGCATCTACAGCAGCAGCAGCCGCCGCATCTTCTGCAGCAGCCGCCGCTGCATCTACAGCAGCAGCAGCCGCCGCACCTTCTGCAGCAGCCGCCGCATCTACGGCAGCAGCAGCCGCCGCAATCTACAGCAGCGGCCGCCGCAGCTACAGCAGCATCAACCGCTGCTGCCTCTGCAGCAGCAGCCGCCGCCGACCCAGCAGCAGCAGCCGCCGCCGATCCTGCAGCAGCCGCAACCGTCGAATCTACTCCATCGGCCGCCGCCGGCCCTGCAGTCCCTACTCTAGCCGAACCTGCAGCAACTGCCGCCGCTGTCGCGACTGCCCCGGCCCTGCCTTGCCCTGCTGCTACTGTCACTACCACTTTTATTACTTACTTTTCCTCCTCCTGCTACCATGGCTACTGCTCCTGTTCTAGCCTTCGACGCTGAGGGCCGCCCAGTGAAATTTGACACCTGGCTCGATGATCTGCACCTTTTCCTACAGCTCACTGCCAAGGAAGACATTTCACTGTACGACCACGCCCTAGGCCATGCTACTGCCCCTGACTCCTCTGCTGCTAGCACACTGCGCTCCCAGTGGCAGACCCGCGACGCACACGCTCGCTTTGCTATCCGCAACTCCCTGCCGCTAGATGAGCGCGAGCACTTCGGCCAGTGCAAAACTGCTAAGGAACTGTACACAGCCGTAGTTGCTCGCTACTCCTCGCCTGCGTCTGCCACCCTAGGCCGCCTCTCCCTGCCCTACCTGTTCCCCGACCTGGCCTCCTTTCACACTGTCGCTGATCTCATCACCCACCTCAAGACTAGTGAGGCCCGTTTTCGCGCTGCTATGCCTGCCGAGTTCCTTGCTAGCAACCCCCCCCCGCTCTGGCTCACCCTCTACCACATTGTCACCCGCCTCCCTGACTCTCTGCGCTCAGTCAGGGACTCCTTTCTAGCTCGCTCCCCTACTGAGCTCACCATTGCCCTCCTCGAGAAGGACCTACTTGCAGCTGAGGCGAGCATCGTCGCCGTAGGTGCCTCTCGTGGCGAGCCCCGCACCCCCTTCTTCGAGGGGTGTTCCCCTTCCCCCCTTCTCCCCTCTGTCGCCACTGCTGCTGCTGTCGACCTCCTTGGTGCTGAGAAGGTCGGGGCTGCGTCTGCTTCGAGCGGGCGCCGCAAGAGCAGGGGGGGCAAGGGTGGGGGTGGAGGCGGGGGAGGCGGGGGTGGAGACAGTGGAGGTGGCGGTGGGTCTGGAGAGGCTAGTGGCGGCAGTGGGGGTGGTGACAGCGGCGGCGGGGGTGGTGGCAGAGGCGGAGGTGGCAGCGGCGGCGGTGGCGGTCGTGGCCGTGGCAGGGGTGGAGGTGGCCGAGGCGGTGGCGGTGGCGGTGGCGGTGGTGGCCGTGGAGACGCTGGAGGTGGCCAGAGTCAGCAGCACGCCCCGACCCTCCAGGCCGCCCGTGAGTGGTACGCGCAGCGTGGGTACACTTGCACGTACGTCATCCGCACTGGTGACCGCACTGGCCAGCCATGTGGGAGGCCGCACCCCACACAGCGCTGCTTCCAGCGCCTGACTGACGCGTGGCGCACCCAGTTTCCTGGGTCTACTGAGCTCCCCCGCTGGCCTGAGCTGGAAAAGAAGGGTGTTGATATCTGGGCTTTAGACTTTGATGCTATTCTCACTGCTATGTATGCGATGTCTATTAGTGGAGAGGGTGCCCAGTACCTGCGTGTTCCGCCCGACCCGGGCATTCAGGCCAGCCCAGCTGCTGCTCTAGGTGCTAGTGTGTCTGCTCCCACAGGTCCTGCTGCAGCAGCTGCCCTAGGTGCTAGTGCGTCTGTGCCCCCTGGTACTGAGTCGACTGCAGCACTGCACACCTTCACACTGGACTCAGGTGCTTCTCGCTCTTTCTTTCGTGACCGCACTGTCCTTGAGCCACTAGCTCGGCCGGTTGCTGTCTCTCTTGCTGACCCCTCTGGGGGTCCGGTCATTGCGACCTCCTCCACTACACTTCCGTGTCCAGCGGTTCCGTCCGGCACGCTCTCAGGTCTCTACCTCCCCTCGTTCTCTACGAACTTGGTGGCGGGCTGTGCTCTGCAGGACGGGGGTGTTCACCAGTTCACCCCTGCCTACGAGCGTGTGACACATTGCACGTGTGCTCGGACGGGCCGCCACCTGGCTACTTTCACTCGGGAGCCGGGGTCGGACCTGTACACACTGACCACTGAGTCCCCTCAGGTAGCTGCGTCTGCGTTGGCGTCTGCGTCAGGTCAGCTGTCCGCCCCCTGCTCATGTCGCTCTCTGGCGCATGAGACTGTCCTCTGGCACCACCGCCTTGGTCACCCGTCTGTGCAGCGCCTTCGGGCCATGCACAAACGGGACCTTGTTGCTGGTCTTCCCAGGGTGCTCCCTCCCCTTCCCGCCTCCCCTGCTCCTGACTGCATTCCCTGTGTCGAGGGGCGGCAGCGCGCCGCTCCTCACTCCTCCTCCTTTCCCCCGACGACTGCTCCCTTGCAGACGCTCCACATGGACGTGTGGGGCCCAGCCCGCGTCCGTGGTCAGGGTCAGGAGAGGTACTTCCTGATAGTTGTTGACGACTACTCGCGCTACACCACGGTCTTCCCCTTGCGCGCCAAGGGTGACGTCCCTGGTGTTTTGATCCCCTGGATCAGCCGAGCCCGTCTCCAGCTAGGCAAGCGCTTTCACTCGGACTTTCCTGTCCTGCGCTTGCACTCTGACAGAGGTGGTGAGTTCGCCTCCGACCTCTTGGCAGCCTACTGTGCTGAGCACGGCATTGAGCAGTCGTTCACGCTTCCGGCCTCTCCACAGCAGAATGGGGTCGCTGAGCGCCGCATTGGCTTGGTCATGGAGGTCGCTCGTACCTCCCTGACCCATGCGGCTGCTCCCCACTTTCTGTGGCCGTTTGCGGTCCGGTACGCAGCGCATCAGCTCAACCTCTGGCCCCGTGTCTCCTTGCCGGAGACTTCCCCGACTCTACGGTGGACGGGAGAGGTTGGCGATGCGTCGCGTTTCCGGATCTGGGGATCTCGAGCTTTTGTCCGCGACACGTCCGCGGACAAGCTCTCGCGTCGCGCTGTTCCCTGTGTCTTTCTTGGCTTTGTTCCCGACGCGCCTGGATGGCAGTTTTACCACGTCACCTCGCGCCGGGTTCTGGCCTCTCAGGACGTCACTTTTGACGAGTCCGTCCCCTTCTACCGCCTCTTCCCCTACCGCACTGCCCCGCTCCCCCCCCCCGCCTCTCTTCCTCGCTCCAGGTGCTGAGGTACCAGACCCCCTCCCCCCTCAGGGTGCCGCTCCCTCAGGTGTGTCCCAGGTAGACCCGGGTGAGCCTGTCGAGGTAGCTGTTGACTCGAGTCCTGCGTCTGGGGGTGCTGAGCCTGGGAGTGCTGCGTCTGAGGGTGCGGAGCCTGGGGGTGCTGAGCCTGGAGGTGCGGAGCCTGGGGGTGCTGAGCCTGGAGGTGCGGAGCCTGGAGGTGCGGAGCCTGGAGGTGCGGAGCCTGGAGGTACTGAGCCTGGGGGTGCTGAGTCTGGACGTGCTGAGTCTGGGGGTGCTGAGTCTGGGGGTGCTGAGCCTGAGCGTGCTACACTTGGAGGAGCCCTCTCCTCCCAGCAGCTGCAGGAGAGGTACCTCGAGTACTGTCGCCTCCGGAGAGGTGCTTCTGGAGCTCGTCCCGGTACTTCCCCTCCTACCCAGGAGCTCCCCCCCATTCAGGTGATCCGCGAGTGGTACACGCGGCGCTGCAGTCTTCGTAGTGGTGCTCCTGGTGCTGCGGACCCGAGCGGTGGTGCTGTTACTGGTGCTGAGGACTCGGACGCTGGAGCTGCTGCTGGTGCTGAGGACCCGGGGGCTGGAGCTGCTGCTGGTACTGAGGACCCGGGCGTTGGAGCTGCTGCTGGTGCTGAGGACCCGACCGGTGGCGCTGCTGCTGGTGCTGAGGACCTGACCGGTGGCCCTGCTGCTGGTGCTGAGGAACCGGGCGTTGGAGCTGCTGCTGGTGCTGAGGACCCGACAGGTGGCGCTGCTGCTGGTGCTGAGGACTCGGGCGTTGGAGCTCCTACTGGTGCTGAGGACCCGGGCGTTGGAGCTGCTGCTGGTGCTGAGGACTCGGGCGTTGGGGCTGCCACTGGTGTCCCTGCTGCTTCTGGAGACGCTGCGCGGCCGCGACCGTACTTCGTACCGCTCCTTCAGCAGGTTCTTGGTCAGGCTCCTCCTCCTAGTCCTCCTCCCTCCGTCGAGTGTCCTCTGCCTGTCCAGCCGCAGTCACAGTTACCGCCTGCCTCGCCTCTCCCTGCTCCCTCTCCTTACGCTGGTCCCACAGGAGGTCTTACAGAGCGTCGTGAGCCTGAGTCTCGTCCTGCGTCGCCTGTTCGTACTGCTCGCACTGGTCGTCGTGTCCCACGTGAGCGTCCTCCTCCTGTCCCTGGCACTCACTACATGACTCTGCGTCCCTCCACTGCTCCGCAGCGTGTCCCGCTGCCGTCTCCTCCTGCGTCCTCTCTTCCTACTCTTCCTGACCCGGAGTCTGACTCCCGTCGTGCTGCCAGTCCCACTGTTACCCGTCTCCTCGCTACAGTTGTCACTGACCCGACCTTTGAGTCCTCTGCTGCGTCTGCTCTGGTCGCTGAGTTGGTTGACTTTGCTGCTCGCTGTCGCCTAGACTACGCTGCCAGCCTTGTTGCTGAGTCTGAGTCTGCGTCTGCCTGTCCTCCGTCCGTCGGGGGTGAGTGTGCCCTCGGCACGGACGTCCTTGAGGACAGACAGGAGGAGTTCCACTGCCTTGCTGCTGCTTTGCCTCGTCTCGTGTCCTTGCTAGTTGCCCCTGAGGGAGACCCGGATGCACCAGACATCCCGACCCCACGCTCTTACGCTGAGGCGATGGCGGGTCCCTATTCCTCTCAGTGGCAGACAGCCATGGACGCAGAGATGGCTTCCTAGAAGTCCACAGGCACATACGTAGACGAGGTTATCCCTCCTGGGGCGAACATCGTCAGTGGCATGTGGATTTTCAGGGTGAAGCGGCCGCCGGGTTCTCCGCCTGTCTTCAAGGCGCGCTACGTGGCTCGAGGCTTCAGTCAGCGAGAGGGAGTAGACTTCTTTCAGACCTTCTCCCCCACCCCGAAGATGACTACTCTTCGGATGCTGCTGCACATAGCCGCTCACCGCGACTACGAGCTTCACTCTCTTGACTTCAGCACTGCTTTCTTGCAGGGCAGCCTGCACAAGGAGATCTGGCTGCGCCGCCCCCCTGGCTTCACTGGGTCAGTTCCTCCTGGCACCCAGTGGAGGCTTCAGCGGCCGGTCTACGGTCTCCGCCAGGCGCCACGTGAGTGGCACGACACACTGAGGACTACACTTGCGGCTCTTGGGTTCGCTCCCTCTACTGCTGACCCGTCGCTGTTTCTACGCACCGACACCTCGCTGCCGCCGTTCTACATCTTCGTGTACGTCGACGACTTGGTCTTTGCCACTGCTGACACCGCGGCACTCGCCCACGTGAAGTCGGAGCTGCAGAGGAGACACACGTGCACAGACCTGGGTGAGCTGACGAGCTATCTTGGCTTGCGGATCACCCGGGACAGAGCACGGCGCACCATCACCCTGACTCAGTCACACATGGTGCAGCAGGTTCTCCAGCGCTTCCGCTTCACGTACTCCTCGCCTCAGTCCACTCCTCTGCCTACCGGTCACTCGCTCTCAGCTCTGCCTTCGGATGAGTCCGTAGAGCCGAGTGGCCCGTATCCAGAGCTTGTGGGCTGCCTCATGTACCTGATGACCTGCACTCGACCTGACCTTGCATACCCTCTTAGTATCTTAGCACGCTATGTCGCTCCTGGCCGTCACAGGAAGGAGCACATGGATGCTGCTAAGAGGGTGTTGCGCTACTTGTGCAGTACGTCGGGCATGGGGCTAGTGCTTGGAGGGCGAGACCGGGTTGTTCTCACAGGGCACTCAGACGCTTCCTGGGCAGACGACCAGGCTACTCAGCGGTCGTCACAGGGTTACACCTTCAGCCTTGGCTCTGGCTCAGTTTCTTGGCGTTCTACTCGTTCGTCTTCTGTTCTCAGCTCCAGTTGTGAGGCTGAGATCTACGCCACAGCCATGGCTGCTCAGGAGCTGCGCTGGCTGACCTACCTGCTGACCGACCTCGGAGAGCGGCCTCGTTCTCCTCCAGTGCTGTACGTCGACAACAAGGCTGCCATTGCCTTATGTGAGGAGCACAGACTGGAGCACAGAACAAAGCACATTGCCCTGCGGTACTTCCTTGCTCGAGAGCTGCAGCAGCGCGGTCAGCTTCGTCTTCGTTACGTGGCCACTGAGGCCAACACTGCTGATGTGTTCACCAAGGCACTCCAGCCTTGTGACCATCAGCGCTTCTGTACTCTGTTAGGCCTTGTGCCTACTGGGCCTCACTTGCTCACTTCTTGACTTTGCCTGTACTGTGATCACTATATATTTGTATACCTGCATGTTTACTCTTGCTAGGTTGTGATCATTGTACGTCTTGCTCTATTATAAACCTGCATGTGAACTGGTCTTGTGACCGCTTGCTTGTGCTCGGAATTTGTGTGGAATCCTCGAGATCCACCC